TTTATGTATAATTGTTATTGTTTTTAAGTTTGCTACGGGGCATGTGCACTCATGAGAGAGAGTGAGGAAGCAAGCCACAGGCCTGGACTCGATCTATGGTCAGCCATGTGGGAGTCCAGCACCCCAACCACACCACTTGCTAACCCAGATGAGTGTTCTTTAAGCCATCGCTCCTGGTCATTAGTTAGAGTGTCCGTTACTGAGGGACAGTCTGCTTTCGCCCTTGCTCTTGCCCCCACAGGCTTCCTCTTGAAGTGGCTGGGCCCTGGGCTACACAGGAGGCTGCACATCGGAAGATAGAAAAAGCCATCCTCCTCACCTCCGAGGGGGGCCCAGGCAATGGTGGCTTTGGAGACCCTGGAAGGGGACACCCTCGGAGCAGCCGCTGCCCACGGTCCTGATAGGAGTGCCGTGAGCAGACTGCTCCTCCTGGCTTTGCCGGCAGAGGCATGGAGCTAGGACAGAGGAGGCAGGGTTTCGGAGGAGCCATATGGGACGGTGGCTGGCAGGGTGATGCCTCAGCATATGCCTGCTCCCTTTTTGGAACTCCCAGAAATACTTGTGGCAGAGGAGGAGAAGGGCAGAGGTCCTGGAGGTGCAAGAAGAGAAACAGCAGGAACTTCAGGTTATGGATGTTAATGGAGCTGTATTTATAGTCGCCTGGGAGGGTCTGATAACGTCTGGTTCCGTGGCTCTTCCAGCTGACTGCTACCTCTCCGCCTTCCCCTGAGGTGGCCGCTGGAGCAGGGATGGCTCCCTAGCTCTTCTCCTCCCTTTTCCCCATTTATGTTCAGGTTTCTGTTGTTGTTTTGTTTCTAGTTTTTGCTATAGGACACTCATCAGAGAGAGGCAGGGAGAGAGGGGGAAAGTGAGAAAGCACCCCCTGCAGAAGGGATGGCCACGCCAGTCCCTTCTCCTCCATTCCCCGCAGGATTTTGAGCACACACGCACTTGCATCCAGCATGATTTTCAAGCTGCTGGGTCTGGGATTGGAGCCATGCAGTTGGCCATGTGGGATCCAGCCACCTTAACCACCGTGCCACCAGCTGGCCCTCAGTTTTGATTTTTTTCCTACTGAGTTGGAGAAGCACTTTCTATATTGGGGTGAGGCCCTTCTCTATCTGTTATTGCAACAAATACCCATTCTCTCCCAGTTTTACGAGAGTGGCGAATGTTGTACCGTGGCGCTGTGCAGAGGCAGCAAAGCTGTCACCCTGTCCTTGTATGCACTCTAACTTAGACATCACCCTCAAAAGAGCTTTTCCCCATCTCAGGAAGATACTTACATTTTCTTTCTCTCTTTGTTTCTTTCTTTATTTTTTAAGGTGACAGAGGGTTCATGCACTGGCCAGAGAGAGTGAGAAAGCATCCCCTCAATGAGTGTGGTCACCCCTTCTCCTTCATCTCCATCCTGTTGGGAGTTTGGGCATGCATACACGCGCTCCCGGTGTGTTTTTTCAGTAGGTGGATCTGGGATTTGAACTGTGGTCAGCTAGTCCTGTGAGATCCGACTTCCCTTAACTACCAGGCTATAGGGCCAGCCCAAATTCTCTTTCTATAAAGGAACTGTCATATGCATACATAATCTATCTTTCTCCATTAGTTAGCAATGCTTCCTTTTGAACACGCTAAATTTCTACATAAAATTTAGATATATATTTTTGGATTCTATGTCCATTCCATGGACTATTTTCCCTATTCTTGTTCTTTTTTTTTTTTTTTTGAGAGGTTTTTGCTATAGGGCGCGTGCGTTCGCCAGACAGACAGAGAGAGACAGACAGACAGAAAGCGAGAAATCACTCCCCGGGGGGATGGCCACACCACAGTCCCTTCTCTTCCATCCTCCTTTTAGGATTTTGAGCATGTACACACATGTGCCCAGCATGAGTTTTAAGCTACCGGTCTGGGACTTGAACTACAGTCAACTATGCGGGAGTCCAATGCCACCTGCTGGTACCTATTCCAGTTCTTATACCACTCCTTCTTTCAAAAATGACTATAACATACTATTATCTAAAAAAAAAAAAAAAAACAAAAAACAAACTAAAAGAAAAAGAAAGGGTAAGTGGAGTCTCTCCTGGACCTCTTATCTTCCTGAATGCTCCTAGATTTCTTACCAGCTCATAATCTGGCTGAAAGGATTTGGTCACGCTAAAAAACCATGTTGGTATTTGGGCGAGGGTTGTAAGTGAATTTAGGGAAAATAGATTGTGTCACCGCATGTTCCTCTCCAAGAGGGAGGTCTGTCTCTATTTAAGTCTTCTTCTGTGTCTTGGGAGAGTCACACCATGGTTTCAGCCCTGCTGCAGCCTTTTCTCTCAGTTTTGTTTCTTTTTGTTCGTTTCTGTCAAGTTTGGGGAGGGTAGATTTGTAAACCTGCATTTAAGCCACCACGATTCCCAGAAGTCTTTAGATTTGTGCTGAATTGAGGGTGAAGGCGGGGATGATGAGCTGACGCTGTGGGTGTGGGTGAGACTCGGAAGGAGATTAAATGCTAAATGAGAGGCACAGAAGCCCGCACAGACCAGCACTTACAGGCAGAGTGAACGGGGAATGCAGACCAGGGGAAGCATGGGAGGGGGGTGGGAAACCAGGCGAGTGGTGGCAGTGACAGGGCAGGAGAAAGGCCCAGAGTGGCGTAGCCATGGAGTCCAGCATCACAGGGAGGTTATGCAGAATGGCTGCCATGGGGCCTCACGTCATCTGATGTTTAAACTGGGATGCTCAGAGAAAATTCTGGGACTACGGGACGAACCAGGATTCTTCCTGCAAAATTGGGATACGTGGTGACCCCAGTTAGTGAAGGCCTCTGAGACAGTGAGCTCAGTGGAGGGTGGCCTAGGTGCCCTGGGTGGGTGAGCACAGGAATTAAGACAATGACAGTGAACTTTCTTTTTTTTTTTTTAGTTTTTGTTATAGGGTGCGTGCACTTGCCAGAGAAAGACAACAGAAAGAAAGAGAGGGCAACTAAGAAGTTACCCCTGCAGGGGAGAATGGTTGCACCACAATCCCCTCCCCTCCAGTCTCCTCTCTGGATTTTGGGCACACACACACTAACGCCCGGACTGATTTTCAAGCTGCTGGTCCAGGACTCAACCATGCAGGCAGCCCTGTGGGGTCCAGCACCGTAACCTCCAACCTACCTGCTGGCCTTGAACTGTTCTTTTTAGAAGTTCAGCCAGAGAGTAAAGAGAGAGCCAGGTCAGAAAGGGGCAGGGTGTGAAAGCTGAAGCGAGATGTATTTGCTGTCTGCTTTCTGAACCTAAGGGTTTTCTCTGGGGAAGGAAAGGACTTAGTAAAGAGGGAGAGATGGGAGATGCAGATGTGGTGATTAGTGGAGAGGAGACCCTGGCAGGCAGGGGCCTTATCCATAGCCTGTAGACGGCTGGCATGGGCCTGGAAGAGGAAGGACAGCTCCTAGAGGGAAACCCGGGGCCCCTGTCTCTTGGGTTAGACCTTCTCAGGTGGACTGAAAGATTCTGAATGAGCTCCACAGATGATGAACGAAGGCAGGCTGTAAGCTCTGTGTTAGGCTTCGAAGCTGGCAGGGTCTGGCTGTATGCCCGGGACCAGAAGACTCTCCCATGCTGGGCGTGTTGGCACATGGGTGGGGTCTTTTACCAGCGAATGATGAAACCTGGACCAGTAAGGACATTATGGCACTGGGAGACGGGGAAGCCCTGACTGCCGGACCAGGTTCTACAGTGACACCTTGGGGTGGCTGTGGAAGCCACAGTGATCAAAGGCATCTGTGGATTCAGGAAATCCTTGGTGTTCTTGGACAATTATGGGTGGAGGAAGTCTCTGAGAGAGACACTGGATTTTTTGTTACTGCAGATGGGCTCCAGAGGCTGATTATTTACGAAATACCAATCTAATTTATAAGCCAGTCTGACAAAGTAGGTTTGTACAATAGGATGGTATCCAGTCATTCGAAATGATATTGGGAAATAATGTTCCATGACGTAAAGAAACATGTAGGACATCTTAGCTGAAAACTGATATAGGGCCGGATGGCAGCACAGCAGTGAAAGGTGACACACATGAGGAGGTTCTGGGTTTGTGTCCAGAGACCTCCCTGTGCTGGCCAGGCATACACCGCCCATGATCTAGGGCTGGCTGAAGGTGGAGGTGATTATGGTGTCCAGACCTTGTGGAGGGTGCTCTCTTTGTCTCTTTCACTGTGCAATAAATAAATAAATAAACTTTTTTTAAAAAAGAAAACTAATATAAACCAAATAATCTGATTAAAAAAAAAATGTTTCAAGAATGAGAGGAGGAGACAGAGAAGGAGAGTGGGACAGGCGCTCTCAGGGTCCTCATGTGGAATCCTCCCCCCAGTCCCGTGGTCGGCCAGGATCATGAGCACCCCTGTTCCAGGTAGACGTGGGCTGTGAGCCCGGAGCCTTCCCACACGGCTTTAATGTTGCGCAGCAGCGCCCCCACTGCCCGTATATATATATATATATATACACACACACCAGAAACACTGGTTGTTTCTGGGTGCTAAAATTATGGGTGATTTTCCTTTCTTTCTGTTTTTATTTTTTATGATGGTGTATATACAGGCACCAGAGAGACAGAGAGAGGTGCCCTTGGTAGGGTCTGGTCACAGGGTAATCCCCTCTCCACATTCCTCCAGCGTCTCAGGATCCAGAGTGCCCACACACCCACCCCGCATGCTTTCAGGCCAACCTGGGAACCCGAACCCATAGCTGGCCATGCAGCTTCGGGCCTAGTGGGCATGGCAGACATTCCTACAAGGTGCTCCTATCACTTTTTCAGTAAGGTGAATAACAAAGTTATTTTTTAAAGGTTTGCCAAGCAGTAACAGGACCCCAGCTGAGCCTGGAGGCGGAACATGCGAGGAGCAATTGCCTGGGGTGGGCATCTGAATCCTCCTTCCAGCTGTACTCAGCAGGTAGGCTCAGGGCTGCGTCAACTGGAGGGGGACAGCCTGCCCGTGGGACACATCCAGGGGACTGCCCCTCATTCCCTACCTGGAGCTCTGCAGGCCACCCTTGAGTTGGCATGATCAATCCAGAAGATGACGAGGATGCTTCTCTGAACACTGCACACAGCTGTCCTGAGACCGAGTGCGAGAGAGGAGCGTTGAAGACAGCTGATATAACCAAGCAGTTCTTGGACGGCATGGGCTGCCGTTGCTAGGGCCGTGCTGCTGGTTGCGTGAGTGCCGAGTTTCCCACGCCGCATGGAGCCGTGGCTGCACCTGTGGCAAAGGAGTGAGGACGTTGCCAGGAGCAGGCACAGGGGACAGGCACGGTGCTGGACAGGAAGCCAGCACACAGAAATGGAGGCCCTGTGGGTGTGAGCCAGAGTGCTGGGTGAGTCCGGGACTGCTCCCACCCTCCTGCCGGATGGTCAGCCCGGCCAGGCCTGGCTTCCGTTCTCCTCGGCTCAGTGAGTCCGGTCAGGAAAAGCCCTGGGGGCAGCTGCGAGGCTCAGCAGTGTGGTTCAGGTCAGCCCCTTGGAAAGGGGTCTAGTGAGGCTTCCCACCTGCATCTGCTTGCTGCACGTCAAAGGGAAGATGTTGGGTGTGAGGTCTCCCTCAGTTCCCCGGGACAGGCCTGAGGGTGACCTCATTTCTGCTTGTCCTGGATCTCTGCCCCATGGGAAGCCGTCGGCTGGTCCTGGCAGGACAGTCTCTCCCAGGAGCAGTGTCTTTGCTGAACGGAAGAAGGGGTGAAGTGGGGCCGGGGGTGGGGGGGAGCCTTGCTGGCCCACACGCATGGCCATGTGTAGAGTTCACACCACCCTGTATCTACAGGTGCTCTCTACACGCCTCACAAAGGTGGCGAAGAAATGCCGTTTCTCATTAAGCCACAATAGGTGGTCCATAGTTGTCAAATGAACACATGAGTGAGTGAGTGAATGCGAGAAGGAACTGTGGCATGGCCATCCCCCTGAGAGTCGCTTTCTCACTCTCCCTCTCTCTGTCTCTTTCTGGTGAGCACACATGCCTTATAGCACATTCTGTCCTAAAAGACTGTTGGCACTAGCACCAGAGATTATCGAGTCCAACCAAGTCCAACTTGCAGAAAACTGAGGTCCAGAAAGAGGAGTATCCAAAGCCACAGCTTTGCCACCAGCCTGGTGGGGCTCTTCCGTCCTCAGTGCCACGGTCACAGTGCAGCTGGGGACCTTCTCCTGGGAAGGCGAGGAGGGACCGGTTTCCCTTATAAATAAATGGCAGCTGGGCACTTGCTCAAGGAGGTCCAGCTACCATGTGCCACGCAGGTTACCAGGCAGGGGCCAGGGGTGGTGCCTGCGGGTGAGTCAGGGGACCCCTCCCTCCTCACCTGCCCCACTTCACCTGGGACGCCATGATGGGAGAGAGACTGACCTGACAAGAAAAAGGAGAGGCTTTGGGGGCCCAGCGGGGTGAAGGGCAGGTGGGAGGAGCCGGAGGTGGGGAGCAGACTGCCTCACATTGCTCTTACACCTCTTCAGGGCTCCCATTCCCTGAACATTCCAGAGGATCTGTCACCTACTTGCCTGTGAGTGCCTGGCTCCAGGGCCTGGGCACTCCAGATAAGTCACACCTCGGAGGGCAAGGTGACAGATAAGCTGATGGAAGGGGGCCTCAGGCAAGGGTGAGGCTCCAGAGGGAGGCCCGGGAGGGGAAGGGCCTGTTGGAGAGGGTGTTGGGGAGACTGAAGAAGAGGCCTGAGCTCCAGGCCCGGCTCAGCAGGCCCGCCCTCCCTCCACCAGGCAGCACCCTGGATTTTGCTCTTGCATGGCGAGTCTGAGTCTCGCTTGAGGCCACAGCTTCTCTAGGAAACTCCTGTCCTTCTGCTCTCCTTTCCCACCTCCTTATCCCCTCCACTGACTCCATGCTTCACAGGCAACTCACCCCCCTGCCTCACCAGCCCACCTGAGTCATTCCTTCCAGTGTCTTTGTTGGCTAGCCTGAGACTCAGTCTCCTCCAGAGACGTGTGGAAACAGAGGGAGAGGTGGAGTGAGGACTAACCAAGATCCTCTCTGCTCCGCTCCCTCCCCCCGTCCCAGCAGTCAGGCTACCATAGACAAGAGGCTGTGTGTCTGTCAGGGAGGCCGCAGGGTGGGGGTAGGAGAGCTGTGGGTCAGCAAGATGCCAGGGCAGGGTCCTCGGGAAAAGGGACAAAGAAACATGAACCTCTGCACACTCTGATTAAAGCAGTCAGGAGGGGCCAGTAGACGGTGTCGTGGTTACAGTGCTGGACTCCCACATGGCTGACCGCAGTTCGAGTCCTGGACCTGGCGACTTGAAAATCACGCTGGGTATGTGTGAGTGCATGCCCAAAATCCCAGGAGGAAAACAGATGTGGGTATGGCCATCTCCCCTGGGGGATAATTTCTCACTTTCCCTCTCACTGTTTCTCTCTGTTTCTCCAGAGTGAGCGCATGCGCCCTATGGCAAAAAATTTTTAAGAAACAAAAAGAATCAGGAAAGCCAGGTTTGGCTTTTCTGAGGTTTTCTTGCTAGTGCTACTTGGTCTGGGGCAGGCTCCTGGGCATTTCTCATGCTTCTTGACCAGGAGCTTTTAACGAGGCTGCTGGGGCTCCAAGGGGTCTGTGCAGCCCCTGAAGTGGTATGTGGAACATCGTGTAATTTTGCACGTCAGTTTCTAGAAGGTACGCAGATCCTGTCAGATTCCTAGTGGCATCTCTGATGCAAAAAGGTGCAGAGCCCCTGGTCCAGGTCCTCGGGCTCACTGCCCCCTCCCATGAGGCCCTTACCCTCCTCTGGGTTTCTTCCACTCCTGTGCTTCTGCAGACAGCCTGTCCCCAGAGCCAGCTGGGACCATGTGCCGCTCTGCTCACCTGGGCCCGGCACTATGCCTCTATCGACTGCCCTATTTAGGAGCTGCGGAGCTAGCTGTAGACACCAGGTCCACACTTGCCCCTCCAGTGGTTTCCAGGCTTAGGGGCAAAGGACCTTCGAGTCTCTGGGCGTAAGGAGCATGTGTTATGGAGCCAAAAAGATTTGCACTGCACCCTGGATGTGTGCCACCTTGGCAAGCTCATGAACCTCCCTGAGACTCTGTTTCCTCATCTACGAAATGGAGAAATTCCTCCCTATAGGGATGTCGCGAGGATGACTGAGGTTATGGTTGTCAAATGCCAGGCACCCGACCAATGGCAGCTGTTATGTGGTGCAATTGCATCTAGAGGTTTTCTCTGTGTCCCCTGGCAGAAGGTTATCCAGCTCTTCCTGGGGAGCTGCTACCTCCTGAGGCCACCCAGCCCCTACTTGGACAGCTCTGACTGAGTAGGTTCTGACGTCAGTCAAACACTCTGTGTTGAAGTGACAGAAATTCAACTCACTTGGCTTACCAGAAAGGGACTCTATTGGCCCCAGAAGTCAGGGAGGGTAGGAGGGGAGCTGACTTTAAGGCCTCTAGAGCTCCAAACAACGCTATTGCTTGGGACTTGCCTTCTCTATGCCTGCAGCTCTCTGCTCCACCTCTGTGGGACTGAGGCAAAGCAGCCAAGGGTGATCAGAGAGAGCTGCTTTCTCCAGGACCACATGCAAAGTCTCAGGTACTATGGTTTCGCTGTGTCCTCCGAAACTTCCTGTGCTGGAATTCGGGTGCAGTAAGAGGAAACCTAGTCAGGCTATGGGATTAAGAGGTGGAGCCTCTGGGTCAGCAGAATGCCTCCCCTTGATGGCGTCCTGGTAGGCTGATAAGCAGAGGGGCTGAGGCTGGCAGACACGCTCTCTGCTCTGCTCAAGCTCCTGCCATGTAATACCCTCCACCACCTTGGGACCTCACTAAGAAGAAGCCCCTCACTTGGGCCAACCTTTGGCATGATGGTGAAGGCAGCTGATCTCACATGGCCAGCTGTGACCCAGCATGCCCAACCAATGAGTGTGCAGGTTCAAAATCCCGAAAGAGGGGAGAGATGGAGAAGGGACTGAAGCCTGACTTACCCCTGTAGGGAAGCTTTCTCGCTTCCCCGCTGTCTCTCCCCAGCAGTCGAAAAATGTCCTTTGGCAAATTAAAAAAATAAAATAAAAAAGACCCTCTTCTACACAGGCCCTTGACTTTCAAAACCTTGAGCCAAGTAGTAAACCGCCAGTCTTTTTAAAATTACCCAGAGCGTAGCATTCCCGCCACCAGCAACACAGCGGACTAGAAGCCAGAGAGGTCTTGTGATTGGCCAGGCTCCGGTCACATGTCCCGCCAGAGCCAATCGCTGTGGATGCGGTTATGGACAATTATGATTGGCTAGGTCTCGCCACTTGACCTGAGGGTAGGCAGCCGCATGCGCTGAGTGGTAGCCATATTGGAACCGTGTGAAGCGCTGGCAGGTAGGTTCCGGGAAGGGACGGGAGCTGTTTCTGGAGCCCTTGGCCACTCAGCTAGAGTGTCACCCTTCCTCCTGCTTGCTGGGGCCTGCTCTGACCTCCCACGGTCCCAGCCCGTCAGCCTGCCCGGCCCAGGCGGGTCGGCTCACCCGGAGTTGCCCTCGGAGCTCGGCGTTGTGACCTGCCTCCCTCCCTCTCGGGGCTGAGTTCCTCCCGCCCTCGTCGCTGAGCACATGGGTGCCAGCCCCCCTCCGCTCCTGGGCGGAAGGCAGCAATCTGGCTGGAATGGGTCCCAGACTTGGGCATTATCAACTGGATGTGCATGAAAAATAGGGGCTTCAGCATCCCTGGGTGCCAGCCATGATCTGGTGTTCCCTTTAGCTCCAAGGGGCATTGACGGAGAGGAAAGGAGAGAAAAGGAAAGAAGAGGGCGAGGGGAGGAAGATGGAGGTAACAGCAAGGGGCTTAGGCCAGGAAGTACAATCAAGTACTGCAAAAAGCCCCAGCTCAGATGCCGACGCTAAGTGGAGGAGGAGTGCATGGCTGGGTGGGCAGGGCAGGGCTCTCAGTCGGTTGGGGCTGTTACAGCGAATTCCCACAGACTCAGGGGCTTTTAAACAGCAGGTATTTATTTTGCACAGTTCTGGAGGCTGTAAGTCCGAGAGCAGGATGCCAGCTTCGCCCAATTCTGGTGAGGACCATCAGCTGGGTCGCTGATTGCCATCTTCTGGCTGTGCCTTCATGTGGCCCAAAGGGCAAGCTCCTTAGGGCCTTTTTTTATTTTTCCTTCTAGTTTTGCTATTGGGCACTTGTGTTGGTGAGAGACAGAAAGTGAGAAATCACGCCAGGGGAATGGCCTTGTAGCAGTCCCTTCTCCCCTCTCAGGGTATGGGGCACACATTCACATGCACCCAGCATGATTTGTTTCTTTTCTTTTACTTAGTGTTTTGTTTGTTTGTTTTTGCTATAGGTGGGGTGCTTCGGAGACAGAAAGCGAGAAATCACCCCTGGGGGGACGGCCATGCGGCAATCCCTTTTTACCCATTCTCCTCTCCGGATTGTGGGCACGCGTGCATGTGTGCCCAGTGTGAGTTTTAAGCTGCAGGGTCTGGGACTTGAACTGCAGTCAACTATGTGGGAGTTCAGCGACATAACAGTTACGTCATCTGCTGGTCTCCTGGCATGTTTTTTAAGTCACTGGGTCAAGGACATGAACTGTAAACTGTGCAGTTAGCCATGTGGGAGCCAGCTGTCTTAGCCACCACACCAGCTGCTGACCCCAGGGCCGGTTTTTTTTTAAGGACACCAATCGCCATCATGATTCACCTACCAGAGCCCCACCTTAGCACCATTAAGTTTCAACATACAAGTTTTGAGGGGACAGATATTCAGACTCTAGTTGCAGGCTTTCTGATGTAACTGTTACACATCTGCTGGCCCAAGACTAAGGGCTGATTAATGGTTGAGGGAAGAAGAGGACTGCAAAGCCAGGGCTTGGGTCACTGGGGGAAGAGAGAGCTATCTCTGATTGCCCAATTGGGGAGCAGAGGAAGGGACTTCTGCTTCCCCCCCCCATTCTTCCTTTCCCAGTTGGGCTGCTCTGCACAGGCCACCCCCAGGCTAATGAGGAATCTTGTAGAAGTTGAAAACCAATTAAGCTACAAATGACTTCTGATTAGTGTTTCTCTAGATGTGAATTTTAATGAATAGCCTCTTTTCTCTCCCTACCTACCAAGCACCCACCAGTTACCCAGTTTTAGGACTCTCTGGAAGAGCCCTCAGCAGTGTTTAGGAAGACTGAGGGCAGAAGGGGAGAGGGGCTGGAGTGGGGTCTAGCAGCATCCATGATGTGCAAATCCTGCCAGTCAACCTACACTTCCCCCAACCTTTCAGAGTGCAGGGGAGGGTATCCAAGAGGAAGGAAGGGTGAGGAGTGGGGGCGACAGACAGTGGAAGAGAGAGACGTGACACAGCCCTGGACCTCTGCCAGCTCACCATAGCCAAAGAGGCTGCGAGTAAGATCAAACATCAGCCCTGGACAAAAGCTAGACATGCTCGGTGGGTGACATGTGGTTAGGTGACTGTGCCAGCTGCGGAGGCACAGAGGTGGGGACAGAGCCACAGGGGAGGGACATGCTGCAGCAGGCAGAGCACAGTTGTGCGGGGCTGTGCTGTGTGGTTCTGGATGGCCCCTCCGCTGGTTCTTAACCTCCTGGGAAAGTGGAGATGGCAGTGCTTGCTTGGTCTTCCCCACTGACCTGGGGCCTCCGGTGAGATGGTGCAGGGTGAATTGATTGTGAGCCAGGAGGATCCCGGGGGCAGGGCAGCAGGTGCGAGGGAGCTGGCAGAGCACAGTCCTTACTCAGTGCCTGACAGGAACTCCTAATGCACCAACTTTGGGCCCTGCCATAGTTCAAATATGTCCCCAAGTGCAGGTGTGGTGCCATTGCAGCGGGATTACGAGGTGACATGGATCTAGTAATGGTGTCAGAAAGATTAGCTTGTGGGAAGAGGTTGGGATTAAGGGCTAGTTTTTTTTTTTTTTTTTTTTTTTTTGAGAGATTTTTGCTATAGGGCATGTGTGCTTGCTGGAGAGAGTGAGAAATCACTCCACGGGGGTTTGGCCATGGTGCAGTCCCCTCTCCTCCATCCTTCTCCTGGAGTCTTGGGCATGCACACACACGTGCCTGGTGTGAGTTGCGAAGCCACCGGGTCCGAGACGAACCGCAGTCATGTGGGAGTCGAGTGATGTAACTGTTACACATCTGCTGGCCCAAGACTAAGGGCTGATTAATGGTTGACACCCGGTGGGTTTATAGGTGATGGAAGGAGAGAGCCACCAGGAGTGGACCACAGTCACCTGCTGTCGTGTTGTGGTGTAGCCAGAAGACACCGCCCCACACACAGGACACCCCTGGACCTGGAACATCCAAACTGTGAGCTGAATGAACCTCTATTTTGTAAACTATCCGGTTCTGGTATTTCCTGTTATTAGCAACAGAATGGGCTAGAGCAGGCCCCGTTCAGTTATGCCTGGTCCTTGTTTCACAGGCAGCACACTAAGCCAGGTCCTCTGCTGTTTCCAGTTGGGACAGGAGGGCCAGCTGCAGGGTCTCAGGGTCTCATTGTCTCCATCCAGTAGGCATCTTCGAGGGTCCTCGCCTTGGATGGGGAAGCCCCTGGGGAGAAGTTGGGACCCTGCTCAAGAGCCTTGCAGAGCTCAACCCTGCACTCCTGACCCTCCTGGCTAAGCAGAAAGCCTTCTCGTTTTGAGTTTACCTGTTTATTCTATGAGAGAAAGACGACGACACAACCTCTGACAGGATTTTGACACCGTGATCTACCCTCAGCCAGCCCAGACAGTCAGACATGCCCAGTGTGCTCAGGGAGGTCTCCAGACTTGAACCGGAAACCTTCTCATGCGGGCCTGCCTCACAGAGGCCGTCGTTTTACTGCTACACCACTACACAGTCCCCAGACAGAAAGCTTTCTTGAAAGGAGAGTGAAGTCCCTGGTGTTTGCTGGAGGCAGCACTTGGGAACTGCTGACAAGAGAAATAAAGATGGATTCTTCTGCAGGAGCTGTTCATGGTCTCCCTCCTCTTTCAGCCCTCTCCTCCTCTATCCCTCCCCCGACTCCCTTTCCTTACCCGAGTTAGCTCTGATGTCTGGCTGAGGGGTTCCAGAGGGACCTGAGCAGGCTGTGGACCCCGCACTGAAAAATCCCAGGAGTGATTTCCATGTGATTCCCTGAAAGCCAGCCTGGCTGCCCAGGGCAGAGGAAAGGCATCAGCCTGGCTCAGGCGTCGGAGTGATGACAAATTTAGAGCAACCTCTCTAAACCCAACTGCTTTGGCTTCTGTTTTGGGTGCCAGGAGCCGGCCTGGCCCAGAAGATTGGCTTCTGCCCAGGGCTCTGCAGCCCAGAGCTGTGCCAGCTGTTCCAGGCCCAACCTCCCTTACACTTGGTCCCATGTCACTGTCAGGCACCTGCGCCCTTCTGATTGATTTTATCGCCCCCAACTTTCTGGAACAAGCTGACATGAAGTAGTGATGGCTATGAGGATGGAATGGCCAGGTCTCTTGGTGGCAAGGGACAAAGCCCAGTTTGTACTAATTTGGGGACAGAAAGGAACTTTATTGGTAGATGTGGTGATGCCAGGATGTCCATTTGAGGAGTCAGCCGGTTAGGGATACTGGCAAATGTTTCCCAACCAGAAGAGTCAAACCGTCAACTTAGGGAAGCAGGACTGTCTGAACCCTCCTCTTGGGTGCTGCAGGGCACGACCATCCTCCGCCGCCTCCACCCTGAGTCTCTGCTGCTCTGACTGCAAGCCCTGTCTGCCCTCCTGGTCCTCACCCTCTCCAGTTCAGCTCTGCACACAGGTGGAAGCAGTTGAAGAAATCCCAGGGAAGAAGTGTGTTGTCTCAGCTTCTGGATCAAGGTTCCACCCCAAGTCACTTAACTGTGGCTGAGGATGGAGTGATGGACGGAAGGGCTGTTCCCCGAGGGAACCTCACAGGCAGAGAGGGAAAGCCGGTCCCTAGAAGGGAGCACTCAACCAGGAGGCAGGACAGACGAGTCAGGAGGTACCTGCTCCTGTGCTCTCACAAAGAGGATCTGGTTGCCCCCCAGAGGGCCTTGTGAATGTCACTGTCACCAACCGTGTTCGCCAGGGGCCCGCACAGCTGAACGGTTTCCTCTCTTCCTCACAGCTCCTGGTGGTCATCCTGGCTCAAGGACTGTTCTCAGCCGTCACCCCAGATGTTGGCCCTGGTGCCCTGCACCCGCCATCTTGTGTCACTGTCTTATCTTGATGAGTGTTACTGAGTGATTGGGATAGCGCCCAAAGAAAGCCCTGGGACTCGGAGTCAGAGACACCCGGGTGTGCATTACGTTTCGCTGTTTATGCTGGCTGAGGGCTCTTTCCTCACCTGTAAAATGCAAAAGATGGTAGTATTTCCCCCTCCGGGTTGCAGGGCAGGTGAAGAGAGATGGTGAATGTAAGCTCTTGGCACATAGTAGGCACTCAACATGTGGCAACCCAGGAGAGCCACGGGAAGGCACAGTCTTCTGAGCGCCCTTTTCAACAGCGAGACCCTGTCTCTGAGCAGCTGTTAGTGGCAGAGGGGGAGGAGTGGTGGGCAGCACCTTCTATCTACAGGCTGAGGGAGAGAACCTCCACCCCACCCCACCCCAAGCCCACACACAACTTTCAGGCCAATCCTGGAGAGCCCTGTTTCCCCAGGAAAAGTCAAGGCCCCAGTGAAAGCCCGCAGACCCGCCATTGGCCTCGGAGAAGGACCATGTGCCCAGAGTACATCCTCAAAGTGGCTCAGCGGGGGGTTGGGGGCACTCTGTACTGGACCCTGGTGCAGCCATCAGAGGAAGCTCCAGATTTTAAACGTTTTAGGCCAACAGGGAGCACTGGCGCCCATGGTCCCACGGGGCCGTAGTCTGCGTCTGTGCCCAGCTCAGCCTGTATGTCAGCACAGGCTGTCCTCTTGAAGGAGCCAGCCAGACAGGGTGTGGGGTATTGGCACGCACATTGCAGCCTGCTGCCTCTCGGTGGGGTCAGTACTCTGAGCTGCTGCCTGTGGGCTGAGGAGGGATGGGGACAGGCACTTTGGGAGATGGAAGCCATGGACACATGCTGGCCCAGAGAGAAGATGGGAACAGATGGCGGGCACCAGGAGTCCGGCCTGGGGCCTCCCTGATGCCTAATGATAGTAAGCAAGCCTGTGTTTAAGGGCCCTTGCCACGGCCAGGCACTGGGCTAGGCTCTTGGAGTTCATGATTTCATTAATTCTTTTCCATGACTCTGGGTAAGAGGCTGGCAGCCAGGGCTAGGTAACTTGCTCAAGGTCTGCAGTGTCTGATTTGAAAGTCCCATTTTCCTGCTGCCTACGTGAGATCTGCAGCAGACCTCATTTTCTGAAGAGAGACCCAGAGGGGACAGAAGGTTCTCCAGGCAGGGCCCCTGGAGAGGACAGCCTCAAAGTCACCTGGGGACCTTGCTGAAGTGTGGGTTTGGGGCTCACACCCTTTTCTTGAGGTACTGATTCAGAGGGGCCCAGGATCTAGGAATGTGCATTTTAACAAGCTCTCTCCCATAAAAATAGCTTCTTTCTCTATTATTAAACGACAACAACAACAAAAAAATCACACGATTCCTTGTAAGATCTTGAATCCAAATCGCAGTGCCTGACATCTGTCCCCTGGAAAGCCCTATCTCAGGTTTGAATACATGGCCCCAGATGCTGGACTTCTGCCGTTAGACCCAAGGATCTGCATGGAGGACTCTGAGCTCCAAGGCCAGGAGTTGGGAGGAGGCTGCTCCCCCTCTTGCTTGCACCTGGCTCCTCAGCCGCCCGAAATTGCAGAATCAGTCCCAGAAGAAGGACTGTGGGAGACTGCCAGTTTGGCTCTGAGAAGGCGACTCCACTGGGCCTTCTCTGTCCACAGGAGAAAGTACAACAGCTCCTGCGTAACCCTCCCTGCTCCAGTGTTCTGCCCAGGACCCTCTTGCCTGGGGGCTTGGGGCTATCCCTGGGCTTCTACTCACTGAGCTCCTCCCACGCCATTCTGCCAAACACACAAAGCTCCTCTTCCCAGAATGTTCTCCCCTGGGTAATTGGACCCTCAGGCCACTGACATTTAAAGAAATGCTCTTGACCTTTTCAGCAGTTCCATAAAATCGCAAAATAGAACTCTAAATATTACTATAGACTCCTACTTGCTCAGACCCTGGCAGAGACTCATTTTCTAGGCCAACTCAAGAATAAGGGAAAATAGCAAAATTACCAGCAAAAAATGGGCTCTTCTCAAATATCTCCTGTTTGGCGACCATTCTATCATGGACTGCTCCTACCTGCATCAGGACTCTGCTCCAGGGTCACCACCGCCACCCTCCCCACCATTGTCAGTACACATTTCGCCACCACAAACTTAGTTACATGATTACGTGAAATGCATGGGGTTTGTGCTCTTGAACCTGTAGAGTAAAAGGTCTGCTCGCATTGTAGACATTCCCTCCAGCAGGAGGTAGACCTCCTCCTGCTTGTCCTCTCCCCTCAGTGGTGCTGAACTAGGAGAAACCAACAGCCTGGAGGGAGACACAGCGAGGACGGGACCTTGGGGTGAGGGGAATGAGTGTGTTGAGAGACGTTTTGAAAATAGGTTAGATATTAGACCAGCATGGCCTGTGGCTTGAGCAGCTTGGGTCAAGAGTAGAAAGCTCAATCATATTCCCTGTTTGTTTCCAAAAACAGTTTTGCCATCTAAAATGAGAGTTGGCGAACGCCTGCAGATCGAATCCCACCCTCGGCTGCTTTTATGCAGCCCTTGAGCTAAAAATATCTTTTCTTACGTATCAGCTTTATTGAGATGTGGTTCACATACCATAAAATTCACTCTTCTAAAGTGTACGAGTCAGTGGTCTCCGGCATGTTCTTGGAGTTGTGCAGCCATCATCACTGTGTAGTTCCAGAACATTTTCATTCCCCCCAAAAGAAATCTGACCCATTAGCAACCCTTCCCCTTTCCTGTCTCCCCAGTCTCTGGAATACACTAATCTGTTTTCTGTCTGTCACTGCATAGTCAGAACATTTCAGGTAAACAGAATCAGGCAATATGTTGTCTGCTATGTTTGAATTCTTAGCGTGATTCAAGGTCTGTCCGTGTTATAATGTGTATCATACATGGAACCAGCAGGTGGCATGGTGGTTAAGGATGGTAGACTCCCACGTGGTTGACCAAGGCTTGAGTCCCGGACCTGGTGACTTTCTCTCTCCCTCCTTCCTCCCCTCCCTCTCTCTCTCCCCCTCCCTCCCTCCGTTCCCTCTCTGGTCAAATTAAATAAAGTTTAAAAGTGTATCATATAGAAATAGCATTCCATTGTATGGATATATGTGTGGTGTTTTCTGATGCCACTTCTGGCACCAAGTGTGAATTTTCTTCTTCTGACACCAGCTATACATATCGTTTATTCCACATCAGCAACAACCAGCTTTCTAAAACCAGCTAGGTATCCAACAATTCAATTCAGTTTTATTTTATTTTATTTATTTATTTATTGGAGAGGTTTTTGCTATAGGGCACATGCGCTCGCCAGAAAGAGAGAGAGAGACAAAGCAAGAAATCGTGACTTGCTTTCTCTACTTTCCCCCTCTCTGTCTCTGATGAGTGCACGTGCCTTATAGCAAATTAAAAAATAATAATAAAGTTAAATAAATAAAATAATGTCCAATCTGGGTGATGACATGTGAGGGTTCATTTTACCATTCTCTGTACTTTTTAATATGTTTGACATTTTTCATAATGCAAAGTTAAAAACAAAATGAAATGTAAAAGGACAGGATTGTGGGAGAAGGGAAAACATAGCAAGTGAGAGGAGGAAGGTCCGGCAAAGGTATCCCATCCCCTGGGAGAGCGGCTGCAGTCTGGTCTCAGCGGAGGCAGCTGCGGCCCAGACACACGAATTTTTGCTGCAAACAGCTCGATGGACATGGCACGAGATCATTTGGCCCTGACAGAAGACTAATGAAACCCCCTCCGGGATCCCGGTTCTGCCCGTCACTCCCTGGCAGCATGGCCACTTTGACTTGAAGTGTTCCAACTGTCCACGTCACCACGTGTTCCTGGGATTGAAGAAGAGTTATTGAGGCTGAGGCTGGCCTCCACGGTAGCTCTTTCTCATATCATTTCTAAAATTGGGAGCTAGCTCAGGTGCCAAAAGAAGTACCTAAAATTATTTAACAAATCTCCACATACCTACCATTCAGCTTGTCGAATCCTAATATGTGGCCGTCTTTATTTTATTTCCTAAATTGAAATAACATACTACAGATACAGCCGAAGCCCTCATGAACCAGCCTGCACATCTCTTCTCTTCCCTCTCTGCGCCATGGTAGCTGCTGGCTGGGATTCCGGGCCCTTCACTCGTACCTAGTACATGAATGTGTCCTGAACAACAGCACTGTGCCGCATAGCTTTCGACTTGACCTAAGTCGTTTCTCAGGTACCCTTCTGTAGTTTGCTGTTTTCGCTAACGTTTTAAAAGATTTATCTATGCTGAGCCTGATGACACCAACAATTTAGTTACTAATTTATTAATTCTCCTGTTGATGGACATTCAGGTTGAATCCAGTATTTTTCTACTGCAGTGCTGAAATGAACACTTACCTATGCTTTTTCTCAGGCATCTGCCTGAACGTTTCTATTTAGCGAGGAGTGTAGCAATTGTTGACTGCTAGGGTTTATACAGCTTTGTTTAGGAGCTCTTCTTCAAAGTGGTCGTATGAGAGTCTCTGTCACATTGCAGCGAGTTTTTAGTCTGCTGATCATGAGATGGTGAATCATGTATCTTATTTTTGCATATCTCTCTTTACTTACAAAGCCATGTATTTTTTCCCTATTGTTGGCCACTTTCATTTTCCTTCGCTGTGAATTCTCTGTTGAAATACTACTACTTCTTTGTATTGCTTGTCTTTTTCTCAATGATTTGTGGTTCTTCATATGTGCGATATACTGACCCTCTGTAGGTTTTATGTATGTATTTTTTGCACAGAAGTTTTAATTTTTAATGTAGTTGGATTTATCTATTTTTTAAAATTATTATTGATGCACTTTTTCCTGAATTTCAGATATCCTTTCCTACTTCAAGGTCATATAAATATGAGGGGGTCTTCGAAAAATTCATGAGGAGCCAGCAGGTGGTGTAGTGTTAAGGTGCTGGGCTTCCACATGGCCAGTTATATTTCGAGTCCCAAACATGGTAGTTTGCTTTCTCACCCTTTCTCTGTCTCTCTGGTCAAAATAAATAATAATAATAATACATTGAATTAAATTAATAAATTTATGAAAAATGTGTATTATGAAAAATATATTGGACCAGATGGTGGTGTAAGATTACGTTGCTGGACTCCCACATAGTAAAGTGTGGTTTGAGTCCCGGACCTGGCAACTTAAAACTCATGCCTGGCATGTGTGCGTGCATGCCCAAAATCTCAAGAGGAGAATGGAGGAGACGGGACTGTGGTGTGGCCATCCCCCCTGGGGGGGTGATTTCTCACTTTCTGTTTCTCTGTCTCTGAGCGCACATGCCCTATAACAAAAAAATTTTTCTCTCAGAAAAAAGAAAAAAAGAAATGAAAGAAAAAGGTATTAATGGATTCCAAAAATTTTGCACCAGAATAAACTCATACTTTATTTCCATTTTCCACAAATGTTTTGAGATCTCCTCATACTCTTTTTTTGGAAATATTTTTGCTATAGGGTACATGCACTTGCTAGAGAGACAGACAGAAAACAAGAAATCACTAACCCCCCTCCCCCAGGAAGATGGCCACATTGCAGTCCCTTCTTCTCCATTCTCCTCTCGGGATTTCAGGCACACACACACACACGTGCCTGGTGTGAATTTTAGGGTGCCGGGTCTGGGACTTGAACGACAGTTGACTACATGGGAGTCCAGCAACAAAACCATTATACCATCTGCTGGTCCCAGAATCTCTCCATGTTCTTTTTTATCTTCCTCGGAAAGGTTTTGCATTTTGTCTCTCAGATATGTGATATGAGCTACCGATCTAATTCTTTATGCATGGCTAACCATTCAGTGCTACTTACTTCTGATTCAGAATTCTGTCCCTGTTATAGACGTCCAGGTAGGTAAAGTCATGTTTGTGGGCTCCCCTGTTAGATTTTCTTTTTGTCGATGTTTATTCAATAACACATTCTCTTAGCTACCATATAAAGGATCATTTATATACGATTTCGTTATCCGGTGGAAGAGTCACTTCTCATATCATCTTTAACATTTTCATAACTATTTTGATCCTTCACTATTCTTTCATTTTTTTGTTTAAGATGTTTTTGCTATAAGGCATGTGTGCTTACTGGAGAGACAGAGAGGAAGTGAGAAATAACCCCTTAAGGGGATGACCATACCACAATTCCTCCTCCTCCAGTCTCCTCTCAGGATTTTGGGCACACCTGTGCACATGTGCCGGCATGAGTTTCAAGCTGCTGGATCTGGGACTCGAACCACAGTTGGTCACATGCAAGTCCAGTGCTTTAACCACTACTCCACTTGCTGGCCGTTCTCCATCTGAGGGTCATGATTCCCATTCATACCTATGATGTGGGCATGTATCTTTATTTTCTTTGTTCACCTGGACCACGGCCTACTGCACAAAAGGCATTCTACTGTCCTGATATTGGTTAATCCCTGAGGCAGTTGGCACAGGCTGGCACACAGTGAGGTGAAAACCACAATGGCAGGCAGCCCTGGTTAGATGGGAAGGAGATAGAGGCCTTCACAGACTGACAACTCACATCTCAGTAGTGCTCCTTGACCGTGCCTGGAATGAGAGGCAGCTCCAGCTTCCCTCCCCTTCAGTGGCCTCTCTGTGCTTCCTTCCTGCAGTGCAGTCACCAGTGACAGGAGCCTGCCACTTCACAGGGCCTCCCTGATATGGCTCCCCGGCTCATCCTTATCTGCCATAAGGATGATGTTTCAGTAAGAGCGAGACACATGTGAACATGTGGTCTGCTGTCCTCCTTCCCCAGAAGCTACCAGCTTGCCTGTCAGAATTTATTCTTGCAAAACCGTCAGTGATCAGAAAGTACTGTGGTTGGTCTCCTTTCTCTGCCTCCCACAGGAGTGCAGGAAAAGCATGGGTCACATCTTTCTCTCTCCTGTTACCCAGCTCCGCGCCTCTCTGTGTTGCTATCAAGCAGACGGGCCTGTCAGCCTCCTTTCTACCTTCTAGTTAGACACACTGGAAACTAAAGCGTAAGTCAGTCATCCAGCCAGACTTGTCAGTACACACTAAATAAGAGACCAAAGAAAAGTAATAAGGGGCCAGCCAAGTGTCATTGTGGTTAATGTGGCTGGATCCCACGTGGTTGACTCACGGTTCAAGTCCCAGACCCGGCAGCTTGGGAAATATGTTGGGTGCATGTACACGCATGTCCTGAGAGGAGAATGGAGGAGAAGGGATTGCGGCATGGCTGCCATCTCACTTTCCTTCTCTATCTTTCTGACAAGCACACATGCTCTGTGACAAGAAAACTAAAGGCAAGGGGACGGAGGATTGGTAGAGGTAACCGTGTCAAGAGACAGTGAGGGCCTCACAAAGATGAATGGGAACTCAAGTGTTAAAAATATTAGGCTGTAATATGATTTCTTAAAAACTACTCTGTTGGGGGCTGGCAGATGGCATAGTGGTTAAGGTGCTGGACTCCCACATGGCCAACCATGGTTCAAGTCCCAGACCTGGCAACTTGCTTTCTCTCTCGCCAAATTGAAGAAGATGAATAAATAAATACAATTGAATAATTATTAAAAAAAAAAATTCTGTTGTCAGCCCAGCTGTTGGCATGGTGGTTAGACAGCTGGATCTTGGGGCTGGCAGGTGGTATGCTGGTTAAGGGCACTGGACTCCCTTAACTATGGCCAACTGTGGGTTGAGTCTCAGACGTGGCAGTTTGCTTTATTTCTCTCTATATATCCCTCTCTGGTCAAATTTAAATAAATAAATAAATAATGAAGTAAAACTCAATAAAATAATTTTTTTAAAAAGACGACTAGATCTCATGTGGCCAGCTGTGCAGTTGAGTCACGGACCCAGTGGGTCGAGAATCACGTTGGGTGCATCTGTGTATGTGCCCAAATTTCCAAAAGGAAGGAGAAATGGAGAAGTCGGGACTGGGATGTGGCCATCCCTCACGGGGGGTGCTCTCTCCTCTCTCTCCCTCTGTCTATCTCTGCTGAGTGCATATGCCCTCTAACAGCAATAGCAACCACACAAAAATAGTCACATTTGAATTGAATGATAAATGGATTGAGAAGCAGGAGAGAGTGGAGGGTCCTCCAGGTGGGCAGTGGCAGCAATGCGGGAAAACTCCAGGCCAGTTTGGGGACCAGTTGGACCTCAGCAATTAGGGCCCCATTGGCGTGTCACCACCCTTTGTGATAGGGCATTTGGCAGACTCCAGGCTTTCTTGAGGCCCACTTGCCCCCTGTAACATCAGGGGCTCCCTGCAGGGCGGGGCCGTGACTGCTCTGTGGAGCCCATGGAGCCCCCTCTGACCAGCAGGCTCTCGGTCAGCAGTGTTCCTCCCAGACCATCTGGGTTCCAGATGATGGTTCTCTCAGACATCCCAGTTCGCATGTTTTTGCACTTCGAAGTACATTATTCCATCGGCTGTCCCACAGCCCCAATCCGTCATCCCCCCTCACCCCCAACTCCCCCTCTATAGTTTCAGCAACCAATGTAATTAATGTGCTGTCTAATGTGTTTTCCTGGAACTGTGATTATGCTCAAGGTATCTCAAAGCTTTTTACAGTAATTACTGGGAACGGCTTGGAGAGTATTAACTGTGCGTGTGGAGTGAGCTGTGATCTGGCCCTTGGACTCTTAGATATTAAAAATCTCTCCGACTGTGTCTGCCTTCATTTGCATTTCCAAACTTTCAGGTTAGAGAGCCTTTCCATTGATTGAATAATGGGTTAATGGAATCTTCTCTCTAATTAAATCCAGATTGTCTCTTTGTGAAAGTGCACACTTGACAGTCTCTATCTGGATCATTCTAATTGCATTCTCAGGGTGCTGTGGGGGGCTGCTGTGAAGAAGTGATTGTCCCATCTGAGGGTAGAAACCCCATGTAAGAGAGAGAGCAAGGCCAGGAACGCGCAGCTGGATGGATGTATCCCTGTAACGTAGGATTCAGGAGACTGGGGACCTGCTCTGGCTTGTTGGCCCCGAATGTCCAGGGGTCAAACAATGGCTTCCACTGCTCTCAATGCTGGGCCCTTGCTGCTTAACAGCTATTGGGTGGGCAGAGAATGAGTGAGTGACTGTAGCTGTGTCGTCATCCTCTGGATGGGCACGCGAATGTTGT